GGAAGGTGAGCATCATGGAATGCCAGTTTAACAGAACAAAGTGTTCTTGCCCTGAGGGAGTACTTGAGTCGAGGCCCAATGTCCATCTGCTACCTTAATACTAAACCTAGAAATATATGCACATAGATTTATTTCCCCATATTCCTATATAAATATGTTTATATATGTACATGCCTATATTTAGACCTCTGTAAATGCCCTTTGCCTCTAGATCTTTCCTCTATAGGAAACAGACAGTACTCTTACCAGAAGGTTTCGGTGGGCCTGTCCATTCCAGGAAAGGATGGCGCTGCTGAAGGATCACTTGCTGGCATTTCTCCAAGTCTCCATTCTGTGCAATCATGTCAACAATTTCCTGAATCCATGTTGTCCCTGAGGTTCAGATGGAAAGAAAGATCAGAAACTTGCTAAATCATCTGCCTCAACGATTCTTGATTCAACAGAGAAAAAGTGAAGACTGCGTATACTTCAGTCACCTCCCCTGAAGTCAGATTCTTGTGAGTCATGACAGATGGACAGCTGTGTTGGAAAAATTCAGCCTTTGGAGATAAATGTTGGATCTCCACAGGGACTGAGATTCCTCTTCCTCCTTTTCGATGCCTTGGAGACAGCGGTGAAGAGAAGTAGCGGAAGCAATGCCCCACCCAGGTAGGGTCACACCTTAACCCAGGCTGGCTGAGTGCTGTGAAGCCATTGCACTTGTCCCTGGTTAAATTCAGGGATGCCACATATATTAAGAGCAAATACTCTCATAGAACAATAAGCAAGAGCACGTTCACTTGAATAAGTGGAAACATGCTACCAAGGGAAATTTTGAGTTGTAGGAAAAGCCCGTGCTAACTCAGTAGGTCAAAAGTACTTGCTGACCCTTCCTCCAGTCACCTGATTTAGGGAAGGTACAGATAAGAAGGTCATCTGGCTTGGCTTCAAATTTTTGGATCGGGCTCCAGTTGTCCACAGAAGTTGCCATCAGGAGAATCCCTGCTATCTCTTTCAGCTCTTTCTGTTTACTCAAGTCTGTAGCCATGCTCAACTGTCTTCCTGTGAGTCACCAAGGGCTGTGAACAGAGAATGTTTAAAGGCACAAAATGAGGACAGTAGGAAGAATGGGCCACTATGACTACTGAATATTGGCTACTGGGATTCTAGAAGGCATTTATTGCTACTACTCATTATGATTGATAATGATAATAGCTCAGTATTGTCATGAGTACTTCAATGTAAACAATTCAACTTGCCATGTCTTGGTCTGAGGGAGATATATATAAATATATATATATAT